AAAGTTAAACAATATTTTTATTGTGGGAATGATATCCTAATTTTTAAATTTCTATAGGACTTTGCCACATAGATAGCTCTCGACTTACAACCACAATTGGAAGGGGAACTTCCATTGCTAAGCCATGTGGTCGTTAAATGAATCATGTCTGATTTTATGACCTTTTTTTTGCTGTGGTCATTAAGTAATCACCACAGTTGGTAAATGAATCTGTCTTCCTCTGTTGAGTTTGCTTGTCAGAAGTCCCCTGGAAAAGTCATAAATGGCAGTCATGTGACCCTGGGATGCTGTAACGGTGTAAACATAAACTGGTTGCCAAGAAATTTTGATGATGTGGCCATGGGGATGCTGTGACGGTCATAAGTTGAAGCTCTGCCACTTGTCACATTTTTAGCACCACTGTTAACTTTGAATGGTTGTTAAATGTATGGTTGTAAATTAAGGCATATTGTACAGTTTCAATGTATTTCCTGCCTCTAAATCAGTGGTTCTCAACCTTTTTAATGCTGTCACCCCCAACCGGTCATAAGTCGAGGATTACTCAACCGGTCGTAAGTTGAGGACTACTCAACTGGTGCAGCACCGTTTGCAGAATGGGACTTTTGGCGGGCTCAGCAGGGCAGAGACAGCCTGGACAATTCCTATTGGCTTTTGAAAGCCAATAGAATTAGACTCTATTCAAGAGAGTCTGTTCTATTGGCTTTCAAAAGCCAATAGAATAAAAGGGAGTAGCACAGCTAAGGAAAAGGGGGAAAAAATGACGGACTGCGCTGTTTGGCGACCCCCGTGAAATGGTCGTTCGACCCCAAATGGGGTCCCGACCCACAGGTTGAGAACCACTGCTCTAAATAATAAGAAATTGGGTCACTGTTTGTACTAATGATTGGAAAAAAACTGGTGGCTGCACAGAAGGGGTGTTAAGAAAAGGAATATGTAGTGTCCCACTTTAAAAAAAATCAGGATGCAAACTGTTAACTCTCTCCAGCCAGTAAGTATAAGCAGGCAGAATCAAAAAATGACTATATATTTCTAATACCACCACATGAGGAGAAGACAGAATTACAATGGATTTTCATTACAACTAGTACAGTTATACCTACAGTACTATGGTACGTGCAATTGTTATATACCTTTAAAAACCATACTCTCAGTTGCTATCTAGAGAACCCGAAGCACACACACTTTATGAAGTTAGTAGCCTAAAACACGTTCGCAACTTAGAATTTAAACCATGTTCCTTTCTGATAACACCGCACTGCACAATCAATTTCTATCCTTTTCTTTAGTACAAAGAAGATAACTGCCAGGGGTGCTGTTGCAGAGCACCTGTCATGTAAATAATGGGGTTCAACTTTGTTCCCTTCACTTTGTATTAAAATTTCTGCTGCAAAAGGTAACCTGAATCAGTGCAAGAAGCAACAGTTTTATACAGAACAGTAAATGTTTAGTGCAGGAATGCACAGGCTGCTTACCTGTAACAGTGTAAAAGTGGTCCTTCAATTCTGCATTCACGCTTACTGATATCATGCTTGCTGAAAGCCTTAAGCAGGAACTTGCCATATTTGAGGCAGATTTGAAGGACAACACACTGAGTGCCTTTTGAGGCATTCTACTCACTTTTCTTTAGCTTCCATCAACCAATGGAGTAAAATATAGAATTCAATGTACTTACCAGGATAGGCCCTTACAGAAGAAATGTGAATGGATTTAGTCAGTTCGTATATAATCACTTGAAGAACCATAATTACGGGTTAGCTGCCTGTTCACCATCATGGTCTCTAGTGCATATATGGATAAGAAGCAATCTCACCTAACGGTTGAAGGATGAACGCCCATTTATGCCAACAAAGCCAAATCAGGCCATCCAAAGAAGCAACTGTTCTGGCTTTAAAGTCCACAGAATTGTGCTTAAGAAATGTCATCAGTCTGAACTGAAAATCTGTAGAGCACAGCCACGGATGTTGACATTGTCCTCGTGGAATGTGCTCACAGAAATTCAGCAACAGCTGCTTTGCCAAGGCATATGGAAGAGCAATGGTTTCCATCACCCACTTAGCTACTTGTTAAGTGGAAACTGAAAGTTCTTTCTTATCACAGCATATAAATAGTCTTTGAAACTGACAAATCTGATCAAGATTGAAGATCAAAGCTTTTATGAGTACCTAACATATGCAGCAAATTCTCCAGCAGGATTATTGGAGAACACACAAAAAGATGGGGGGAGGGGGGAGGCGGAAACAGTGATTAACTTAATATTTAGGTATGAAGACAATCTTTGGGGAAAGTGTTTTAAGTTTTCAAAACAAGCACACTGAAATAAAATTGAGAATATGGGTAATCAACCTGAAGGATACCTGCCTGATCTCCTTAAATTGTCACCATCAAGAATACCACTTTCAGGGTTAGTAATTTAAATTCTGAATTTTTTTTTACATGATATCCAATGGCCTGTGAGAGTTAGATCAACAGCCCATTTCATAAGGCATTCACTGTAGTGATCTAGAACAGTGTTTCTCAAACTTGACAATTTTAAGGCATGTGGACTTCAACTCCCAGAATTCCACAGCCAGCATTGCTGGCTGTGGAATTCTGGGAGTTGAAGTCCACATGCCTTAAAATTGTCAAGGTTGAGAAACACTGATCTAGAAGGAAAAGTGAATGTTGGTCAAATTACTGGTTCTGGCCCACCCTCAATGGGCTGCATTAACATCTAAAGAGAGTAGAATGCTTGAAAGACTGATTTTTTAAAATGCCATATTTGACCTGAACCCCATCTTGGTAGATGGACAGATATCATAGGCATTATCAGAATACTTATGGGGCTACTCAGAGTCAAGATGGGAGTTATATTCACATTTTTATTTTCCTTACAGAGGCATGAATCTCAGCATTAAATCAAAAAAGCAACCTACCTTTTTAGGGGGCTGGCTTACTATGCATGTTTAATTATGAAATATAGGCTACATATAACTTAGAGCCTTTCTTGTTAAATACGTTTTTATTTCTCCATAATTCAGATCACATAACTGATTTTTAAAAAATCATTAAGGCTTTCCAGATATAGAAATCTGCACTTATTTAAAATTGTTTACTTCGACTTGTCTGGATTTAAGTGTTTGGGGAAAAAAAATTGACATGCCAAGCCTTTATGGTTGAAGAAACATGATTGCATATAATAAAATGTGCATAGAGAATAACCGAAATACATTATATACACATATACTTATGTATTGTACTTTGGAGTGGCTAATGTGCAATCCACAAAATTAAAATATTAGCTTAATTTATCTCAAATGCTTATTTAAGCAATGTGTTAAAAGTAATGCTATTTTAAATAGCTTTACTTGCACAGCAGATTAAATGTGATATGGTAGTAGAGCCAGTTCAGTGTTATATTACATTATAGAGCAGTGGTTCTCAACCTGTGGGTCGGGACCCCATTTGGGGTCGAACGACCATTTCACGGTGGTCGCCAAACAACGCAGTCCGCCATTTTTTCCCCCTTTTCCTTAGCTGTGCTACTCCCTTTTATTCTATTGGCTTTTGAAAGCCAATAGAATAGACTCTCTTGAATAGAGTCTAATTCTATTGGCTTTCAAAAGCCAATAGGAATTGTCCAGGCTGTCTCTGCCCTGCTGAGCCCGCCAAAAGTCCCATTCTGCAAACGGTGCTGCACCAGTTGAGTAGTCCTCGACTTACGACCAGTTGAGTAGTCCTCGACTTACGACCGGTTGGGGGTCGCGGCATTAAAAAGGTTGAGAACCACTGTTATAGAGCAACTTGCATTTGCCAGATCTAAGTTAACCAAAATGAAAATGCACAAAACTACTTAAACGGTTTAATTTTATCCTTTCCACAAAAGCTTGTGATAACCTTCCTTGCACCTCTGGAATTTAAAACATGACGAAAGCTACCAAATTAGATGGTTTTAAGATTAAACACATACACAGAAGATAAAGTTAGCAATCATGAGCATTATGCTTCCAAAATATCTAGAGCAGGGGTAGGCAACCTTGGCTCTTTTATGACCCATGGACTTCAACTCCCAGAATTCCTGAGCCAGCCATGCTGAGGGGAAAGGGAAAGGTTTCCAAACTGAGCCATGCTGGCTCAGGAATTCTGGGAGTTGAAGTCCATGAGTCATAAAAGAGCCAAGGTTGCCTATCCCTGGCCTAGGGGAAGGAGTGGCTGTTATGTATTTCAAATGAATAAACAGCACACCTGATTGTAAAATAAAGCTGCTACACCTGATCTAGAGCAGTGGTTCTCAACCTTTTTAATGCCGCGACCCCCAACTGGTCGTAAGTCGAGGACTACTCAACTGGTCGTAAGTCGAGGACTACTCAACTGGTGCAGCACCGTTTGCAGAATGGGACTTTTGGCAGGCTCAGCAGGGCAGAGACAGCCTGTACAATTTCTATTGGCTTTTGAAAGCCAATAGAATTAGACTTTATTCAAGAGCATTATGCATTAAGCTTTCAAAAGCCAATAGAATAAAAGGGAGTAGCACAGCTAAGGGGAAAAAAATGGCGGACTGCGTTGTTTGGCGACCCCCGTGAAATGGTCGTTCGACCCCAAATGGGGTCCCGACCCACAGGTTGAGAACCACTGGTCTAGAGTAAATAATATAGTACTGCCAGCTGATGCCAAATTATTAATCCTTTCTGAATACAGGTGGTTCTGATTTACGTCCATTCATGTAATGACAATTCAAGGTTACGACAGAGCTGAAAAATACTCGCACCTATGACCGGCACAGTTTCCCTGTGGCCACATGATTAAAATTTGGGCATGTATTTCCATTTCCTGGAGTCATGTGATCATCATTTGTGACCTTCCCAACTGGCTTCTAACAAGTCAATGGGGGAAGATTAGCTTAATGACCACATAATTCACTTAAAAATCAGGCAAAAAAACAAAAACAAACCAACAACAAAAACCAAACCCAGGCAAGGACTACCTGCAGGTGGTTCATTCCTAAAGCGGCTTTTCTTACATACCTGCACAAGGCTTCGATGGCATCTCTGTCCAGAAAATCATGTTCTCTCTTCACTGAAGTGATGTCAATGGGAAAGATAAGATCTGTAAGGATCAAGATGGATGAGCAATCAGAAAAAAAATGTTCTTCCCACTGATAACTTCTTTCAAAGAAGCCATCTCTCTCAAAGAGATCAAATGCAAGGACCCAACTGTGGTAATAAACATTTCTTTTTATGCCATCTTGGGTGAAATGTGCAGAAGCTTTAATGGGGGAACGAATATGGCCGTGTGTTACAGGAAGAAAAAGGCATCAAGGAAGGGAAGGTATATTCAACAAGGGAACAATCTACCTGCTGCTACACATCCTGACTGCAACCAGGCTTGCTTTAGCGCAAAAATGGAAGAGCAAGGAAATTCCCACAGAGGAAGAGTTAATACATAAAATATTAACATGTGCAGAAATGGACAGGCTCACAATGATATTAAAAGACAAAAGTGGATCAGTTTATTATGAAGCCTGGGATAAATTTTACCGCTGGAGAAATTTGAAGAGGACGGTCGGAATTAAAGATGAATGTTAAGATAGAAATATATGTTATTTTAGAACAAGTATTGTATATAAAACTTAGATGTATATGTAGAGATGAAGAATTGATTGTAAAAAGTGGAATAATCTGATAAGAATGTATATACTGGAATGTCACGTTAAATCCAATGTTTGTTTGTTTTTAACTGTATTATAAATAAAATTTATAAAAAAAAAAAGGAAGGGAAGGTATATTGTAGGAAGTCAAATACAAAATAGCCTGAGCTGTGAAAAAACAATCTGGCCTTTGGAACAAATATTAACATTATGAAGAAACCTTCCAGGGGTCTGCATAGACCAAAGCTTTTCAACCAGTGGTACAGGTACCACCTGTGGTACATTGGCACCTGGCAGGTGGTACGCGACCATCCTAGAAAAGTGGTAGCGGGGGAGGGGAATGAGCTGAACTGGTGGCAGCACTGCACAAGCCTGAGCAAGAGATGGCTGGAGCTGCAGGGCTGTCAGGGCTCAGTGGAAGCACCAGGATCAGTACCGCTTTCCAGCTGATCGGTGCTTCTTTGGGACTGTCAGGGCTCAGGGGAAGCGCCAGGATCAGCGCCAGGCTCCAGCTGGAGCTCAGCACTGATCCTGGTGCTTTCTGCTGAGCCCAGAAGAAGCGCCGATCAGCTGGAATGTTGCAGCACCTCCAGGGTCTTGTGATTTACGTTCAGATGCTTGGCAACTGATTCATATTTATGACGGTCACAGTGTCCCAGGGTCATGTGAAGTGACCAAAACCTGCTGCAACCACCCAGCAGACGGGGGGAATAAAAACCAAACACCCCCCCCACCTCCCCCGCTGCTAATCCTCAACAGAAATGCTCACAACAATGAAAACCTTGGACAGGAGGAAGAGTGCCACCGGGTGGGCAGGCAGGTGTCTTGCTCGGCACTTTTTTCAGCGCCATTGTAACTTCGAACAGTCACTAAGCAAACAGTTGTAAGTCAAGGACTACCAGTACTTCATCACTTTTTTCCTTTTTTGGGGGGGAGAAGTTTTTGACACCTTGCTATGCGACCGGTGGTACTCGGATATTGCCATATCCTAAAAATGGTACAATGGGTGAAAAGGTTGAAAAGCCCTGGCATAGACACCATTTAGGTAGCAGATTTGCAGTTCCAGCCACATTGGAAAGCAACAAAGCAGACATTTTAAAAAAACAAGGTTTATCGGGGCGAGAGACAAATAAATATTTTTAAAAAGACTGATAGTAACGTCCTGAATGAAAGGATCAACGTTATGTTCCCTCTTTTTCCTGGGGTGTTGGGTGTTGTGCTCTTGTGACCCATCAAGCAAAAGGCAGTTTACTAGCTGTGTGTGGTAATCCACATGGGTTCAGTTAAGTCTCTTCTTTCTGTTGCCTGCCCAGATTGCAAAAACAAAAGGCTCGACAAACACCTGCCTGGCCACCATGCACGAGGGACAAGCTGCATTTGCTTTGCCAGTTGTGCAAATCTGTTTTAGGTAAACACTTGGGAGGGAGGCAAGAATGAAGCAACAACATATGAAAAGAAGTCTGGAAATTTATAAGTAACCTGCAGTGGTAAATAGACAAGTAGGATTTTTCAGCATCTGCGGATCGCTGAGTGGCAGATGGCCCCTGAGCCTGTATTCTACAGAACTGACAACAAGCTCTAAATCAGTGGTCCTTAACTTTTTTGAACAAATCGCCCCTTTGAGCCAATGAGGAAGTTGTCATCGCCCCCCTCCCCCAACATAACCTCTCAATCACAACATAGGAAATAATTCTTCAATTTATGCAAACACTTGTTTTGTTTTCTTTAAAATTGTCATCAGGACATATCGATGCAAATAATTTATTTCCAGTCTTTTTCCCATATCTCAACTGTGTGAAAAAATTTGGTGCCCACCCATCACTTTATTCCCAAACTTCATGATACATGTATTTCATTATTATCTTATTTATTCAAGACACTTAAATGTAATGATCACTGAAAACAAAATTCAATTGCAAGGAAGTGAAATGCCCGAAAAGAAAAACAGTAACATTTAATGACTGAATTACAAGTGAAATTTAAGACACAAAAAGAAATATAAAAAGGGTAGAGGCTACTGCGCAATGCGCATGAAGCAATGCCTATTCACATATGTACGGCTTTCTGTACTGAAGCTAGCTGGAGGAACATTTGAAAACACAATTCAATCCACTAATAGCGAGCAATCAGATGTTTTTGTACGACAGATATGCAGCGATTCACTGTATGAAAAAAATCTCAAAGTGTCCCCAAAACGTCTTGCTCCGCGGCCTCCATATCGCCCCCTTTTTGTTCCATCACCCCCCTGAAAAACGAAATCGCCCCGGTTAAGAATCACTGCTCTAAACCAGTGTTTCTCAACCTTGACAATTTTAAGGCATGTGGACTTCAACTCCCAGAATTCCACAGCCAGCATTGCTGGCTGTGGAATTCTGGGAGTTGAAGTCCACATGCCTTAAAATTGTCAAGGTTGAGAAACACTGCTCTAAATTCTAGATTACAGATTGTATTTGTATCACACACTGCTTCTCTATCTTTCCTCCAGGAGCTTGAGACAATTGGCAAAGTTTTTCCCTAGCAACTTTGCCAGTTAAGTTAAACTGACACAATTACGGGCAGGAGGGTCAAAAAAAACCCCTAAAATACTTGAACCTGGTCTCCCTGTGATCAGCATCTATGCTACTTCATAAATTGTAGCGCATTCTTCTGAAAACGTCTCATTTATTGTCACCACATGCCAAGACTTGGATTACTGCACAATCTGCATTTTATCAAAGCCAGATGGAACATGAGCCCACGTCAAAAGCTTAGTGAATTTTCTGTTTTGCCGCCCTTCCTTTTGGAAATTCATGAGCTACTTCGACATTACTGCCTCGTCAAGCCTTGCTCTGTAACAATAGCACTAAGACTTATGTATATTGCTTCACAGTGCTTTACAGTCCTCTCTAAGCAGTTTATAGAGCCAGCCTATTACCCCCAACAACAACAACAACAATAATAGTAAAGTTGGAAGGGACCTTGGAGGTCATCTAGTCCAACCCCCTGCTCAGGCAGGAAACCCTACACCATTTCGGACAAATGGCTGTCCAGTCTCTTCTTAAAAACTTCCAGTGTTGGAGCATTTACTGCTTCTGGAGTGTTGCTGTTTCTGCTGTTTCCACTGATTAATTGTTCTCACTGTCAGGAAGTTTCTCCTTAGTTCTAGGTTGCTTCTCTCCTTGATTAGTTTCCACCCGTTGCTTCTTGTCCTGCCTTCAGGTGCTTTGGAAAATAGCTTGATTCTCTCTTCTTTGTGGCAGCCCCTGAGATATTGTTGTTGTTAATTGCGAAGTCGTGTCCGACCCATCGCGACCCCATGGACAACGTTCCTCCAGGTCTTCCTGTCCTCTACCATCTTCTGGAGACCATTTAAGTTCACACCTACTGCTTCAGTGACTCCATCCAGCCATCCTGAGATATTGGAACACTGCTATCATGTCCCCCTTGTCCTTCTCTTCGTTAAACTAGACATACCCAATTCTAGCAACTGTTCCTTATATGTTTTAGCCTCCAGTCCCCTAATCATCTTTGTTGCTCTTCTCTGCACTCTTTCTAGAGTCTCAACATCTTTTTTACATCGTGGTGACCAAAACTTGATGCAGTATTCCAAGTGTGGCCTTACCAAGGCATTGTAGAGTGGTATTAATACTTCTGGCTCCCCATTTTACTGACCTTGGAAGGCTGAGTCAACCTTGAGGCTGTGAGGATAGAACTGCTGGCAGTGGGCAGAATTAGCCTACAATACTGCATTCTAACTACTCCACCAACATCTTGGTTTCCCTATCTTGGCGTCCTATCTTGGCATAGAGAAAACAAGTTTCCCTATCTTGGCATTCCCCAGATGAGTGGGAACTACATATTCTCATGCTCCTCAACCAATCGCTATATTGACAAAATATCCTGGAGTTCTAATCTCCTTATATTATTTTGTTCCGCAGTATAGAAGCTGCAGCAGTAACTTGGCTTCCATCATGGCATCAGAGGAAGATTTTAATTTGCAGAAATTATGAAAAACAGCTTGTTGGAAGGAAAACTTCCTAGAAATGTTGGCAGAGAAATGAAATCAAAGCATCCAAATATAGAAAAGGGAGAGAAGACAATAGCTAGAGCTATCCTGCTGAGATATTTTATATTAATGTTATTATTACTTTAATTTTCTAAAATAGACCCTCCTTGGTTTGGTCTCTGGCCCGAATCTAAAGAATATAATAGGCGGAAACTCAGTTCTTAAACAGATAAACAAAAGAGCTGCCAAATGTTGTCTCTGTGAGTGCCATTATTCTCGACTATTGCCAATGCAGCTGTGAGCTAAAGCCTTTAAATCAATCATTTCTTAAGAACAGTCTGCTTGGCTGTGCTAAGTTGTCCAACAGTAAATAATGAAACATCTCTATTCAGTTAACCAAACAGCCGTGGTGAGATGCTGATCTTGAAGTTTCCCTCCAACTACAGAAAAACGTCTGATCTCTGCTGTAGATTTTTAGGGCGCTAAAGACAATGAAAAGCTTTCTGAGGCACACTGAGGTTAACCAGCACTAGCACAATTTTAAAATATTTTAACTCTGTTAAATCTTGCAGGGTCTGGCAAGTATAACTCACCCTGATCATCCTAGCTGTAAATTCTCAATAGAAATGCACCTCCAGATTTCTATATTCAGGCTTTTAACAGGGTTACTAGGTCAATACACACATATCTAGATGTTGCAACGTTTAAAGAACTTTAACACCAAGAAGCATCACAACCGTCAGTAAGAATGACTTCTAACAAAAGAGTTGAGTGTATAGGGATGCAGAAAAATACAAATTATCTATTACTTTATTTTCAGACTTAAAGTTTAGACATGTTTTAAGGTGCAAGTTGCAAGGTGAGACAATTAAATTAAGGATATGAATTTTAAAAAGGTTTCAGTTATATAAAAAATAGTTAATGAGTATAGAGCAGGACTGGACTGTTCTGACAGGACTGACATGACTGGAAGCTCAACAATCAGCTTCTGCCCTCCCAATTTTTCCTTAATTGATCTTCTAATTCTTATGTTAAGGGCATCAGCAGTTTTGTATGGTTAATAATTGGGAAAGAGAAGGACCTAGCCTTTATTGGCCAATTTTAGGAAGGCCTCTAATCCCTTGTCTTACCTCAGGGGTAGGGAACCATGGCCCTTTTATGACTTGTGGACTTCAACTCCCAGAATTCATGAGAAAGCCATGATTCCCCATCCCTGTCTTGCAGCTTCTGGGATTCTGCATTCAATGCTTGTCTTAGACTAAGGTAGCTTTTTTTTCCAATGAGAAATCATAGTTATTATTTTTCAAAAAAATAACAAACTGGCCACTCATGAACTGTGATATAACTCAAATGGAGCAGAAGTGAAGATTCTCAAACCTAGTTTTGGTGCCCCACCCCTTTTCAATATTTAGAATAGATAAGGTAGAATAGGTAAGTCAAGGTAGTTCTTGACTTACAACAGTTCATTTAGTGACTTTTCAAACTTACAGTAGCACTGAAAAAAAATAACATGACCATTTTTCACACTTATGACTGTTGCAGTATCCCCATGGTTACGTGATCAAAATTCAGATACTTGACAACTGGTTCATATTTATGATGGTTGAAGTGTCCTGGGGTCATGTGATCATCCTTTGACAAGCAAAGTCCATGGGGAAGCCCAGTTCGCTTAACGACCGTGTTGCTAACTTAACAAGTGCAGTGGTTCACTTAACAACCGTGCAAGAAAGGTTGTAAAATAGGGCACAACAAATGTGTCACTTAGCAACAGAAATTTTGGGTTCAATTGTGGTGATATGTTGAGGAGTACCTGTATAGGTATAATATTTCGGGCTCTATACCAACAAAAAAGAGGAACACTTTGCTGCCAACATCCAGCCAGCATCACCATACCGCAGTCTGTCTGCTAGTCTAGAGACCAGACATTATATGAGTTTGAATATATATACTTTTTCTCAAGCAAGGAGTTTACTCTGTGTACTCGGGAGTTCCCTTCAATCCCATAGCACCAGACCAGGGGTAAGCAACCTTGGCTCTTTTATGACTCGTGGACTTCAACTCCCAGAATTCCTGAGCCAGCCATGCTGAGGGGAAACGGAGAGGTTTCTATGCTGAGCCAGGCTGGCTCAGGAATTCTGGGAGTTGAAGTCCACCAGTATAAAGCGGCCTAGGCCTAGGCCAGAGGTAGGCAACCTCAGCTCTTTTATGACTCGTGGACTTCAACTCCCAGAATTCCTGAGCCAGCCATGCTGAGGGGAGAGAGATTTCCAAGCTGAGCCATGCTGGCTCAGGAATTCTGGGAGTTGAAGTCCACGAGTCATAAAAGAGCCAAGGTTGCCTACCCCTCACCAGACAGAGAAAAAGTGTTGTTCCTTTAAAAGGCAACGGGGAGATTTCTGGGGACATGGAGCAAGAGATTACCAAGGCTAAGCTGAGAAAAAGTGAGCAGTACCATTTCCCTTCCGTTCTAATAACTGGAGTTTGTAAGGTGATTAGATTGCTAGGGAAACTGAGTGAATTCTCCCGCAGATTATTAAAACATGCTCTAAACACTATTTTTGTTGTTATTTTGCTGTGCAATATGTGTTTTTGTGTTTTGAACTTTGTGTGCCTCTGAGAGCCACTCATGTGAGATGGGTTACACTATAAATCTAAATAAATGTGTAGATTTGGTAACTTAAAATTTACCAAATATATTAATAAGTAATAACAGAAAGTATTGCTAAAGAAGTTATGTAATTCTATTTTTATCTCTTATTTCCCAGACAGCCTATATTTCTCATAGACCAGGATTACAGAGAGGGCACCAAGTGAGGTGGCTCTAGAACAGAGGTCCCCAACCTTTTGGGCACCAAGGATCGGTTATAATGGTGAGAGGTTTTTCCGTGGACCAGAGGGGGCGTGGTTTTGTGTGCTGCCTGCATCCCACAGATGGGGTTTTGCTTGTTTGTGCAACCCGGTTGCTGGCATGCCACGGCCCAGTACCGGTCCACAGACCGGGGTTGGGGACCCCTACTTTAGAAGACAAGGGATGAAAACAGTAACTATCAAGCAACTACAGCAGTGGTTCTCAATCTTTTTAATGCCGCGACCCCCAACCGGTCATAAGTCAAGGACTACTCAACCGGTCGTAAGTCGAGGACTACTCAACTGGTACAGCACCGTTTGCAGAATGGGACTTTTGGCGGGCTCAGCAGGGCAGAGACAGCCTGGACAATTCCTATTGGCTTTTGAAAGCCAATAGAATTAGACTCTATTCAAGAGAGTCTATGCTATTGGCTTTCAAAAGCCAATAGAATAAAAGGGAGTAGCACAGCTAAGGAAAAGGGGAAAAAAATGGCGGACTGCGTTGTTTGGCGACCCCTGTGAAATGGTCATTCGACCCCAAATGGGGTCCCGACCCACAGGTTGAGAACCACTGAACTACAAGAAGGAAGGTGAGCCCAAAGGCAGGAAGGTGAGCCCAAAGAGAAAACACCCAAAGGGCCTCTGGGAAAAAAAGGCATCCTCCAGCCTTTTATCGTATACATAGAAAGCCACGTTGTTACATGTTTGTTACATTTAGGGAGTAAGGAAGATGCCTTTGATGGAGTCATTCAGACTTTGTTGCCAAGGTGCCAGGATGGAAGCATTTTTAGATCCAGAAAATTCAGCTAATGTTAAGAAGACATCTCCATAATCTGGACAGCCATTTGTCTGGAATGATACGAGATCTTCTGATTGAGCAGGGGGTTGGACTAGAGGATCTCTAGCTCTCTTCGAACCCTATTATTCAATGTTCTATGGAATAAGAGGTACTGCAAAATCAGTCTTAGAACAGTAGTTGGAAACATCCTGTAGAATTAATTTCATGGTCTAATCCAGGGGTAGGCAACCTTGGCTCTTTTATGACTTGTGGACTTCAACTCCCAGAATTCCCGAGCCAGCCATGTTGAGGGAAAAGGGAGAGGTTTCCAAGCTGAGCCATGCTGGCTCAGGAATTCTGGGAGTTGAAGTCCACGAGTCATAAAAAAGCCAAGGTTGCCTACCCCTGTCTAATCTATCTAGTGTTATTGTTATTTGGTTGCTGAATTTTGGCAGCATAATTTTGGTGGCTGTGGGGTGGTAAAAATAAGGTATATATCACAATTGCTTGCCCCCCTTACTTAGGACAAAATAACAACATGAATTAAGACAGCACTGTATTGTTCCAAAATAATTTCAAAATCTTTAATCCAATTACCTTATCAGCAGCACTTAAGTCTATCATCTGACACAACAGGATGTTAATTTTGTCGAACACACAAAGATCATAGATGGAAGTTAACATTGATACCATGATCTTCTAACCTATTTAACATTATGATCTATTCGATGTAAACTAGTAATAATACAATCACGTCATTATTAAGAATAGCATCATAGAACCTTGAGTTGCCTTGTTACTTACCCTCGTAAAGTTGAACATACTGGGGGAATCCTGCTGCTTGCAGCCAATTGCATGCTTCTTTTGCTTCAATCTCTGGAAAAAAAAAACAATTCCAAATTGGTAACTGAGAAAGCAAACTTTTTTTTAAAAAAAAAAATCTTAAAACTTTACATGTAGAAAATGTGCACATATAGCAATAGCTACGGCACTCAAGGCATATATACCGCTTCTCAGTGCTTTACAGCCCTCTCTAAGCGGTTTACCGAGTCGGCATAGGGCCCCCAACACTCTGGGTCCTCATTATACCAAACTTGGAAGGACGGAAGGCTGAGTCAACCTTGAGCCAGTGGGATTTGAACTGCTGACAGTGGGCAGAGTTTGCTTGAAATACTTGATTTCTAACCATTGTGCCACCAGGGCTCCTATATAGCATAGCGACCTGAACTGAAATGCAACTTATTGCCCAAGTTGTGGCAACTTGTGGTTACACTTCTGCTTTAGCAGCTTTATAGAGTTTTACCACTCCATGACCAAATAAAATTAAGCCAAGCTATGCAACATTCTTCGTATTAAATAGCTACAATCCAGTGAGGAGCAATTTTATGCACATGGAGCTTTTGCTGTAAGGTGTGGAAAAGGAAGCGTCTCAGGCACAACAGTCTTTTTTTACAGGTAGCCCTTGACTTACAACCATTCGTTTAGTGACTGTTTGAAGTTACGAAGGAGCTAAAGAAGCAACTTGTGACCCTTTTCCCAGTCATGACTGTTGCAGCATTCCCACGGTCACATGATCAAAATTTGGAACCTTGGCAACTGGTCTGTATTTATGATTTGTGCTTCTGACCAGCAAAGTAAGTGTCTGAAGACAGACTCACTAAACAACCGTATTAGTAACTTAACAACTGCAATGTTTCACTTAAAAACTGTGGCAAGAAAGGTTGTAATCAGGAAGACTCCTCTAGTCATGAGGGGGCTGCGCCTTTCCTCTGGATAGAAGGAAATTCAGCGCCGGCTTTGCTCTTGCCGCGTTGTCTATCGCGCCGCTCAGCTGATCGCAGCCGAGCGGCGACCTGGTTTGCCGCTTCCCGCGCGGCTCAGCTGTTTCGCGCCGAGCGGCGCTCAGCTCCCTCGGCCAGGCTGCTCAGCTGTTGGGAGGGCCCGGGGGGCTACGCGCAACCCGGTGAGATCCCCCGCGCCAAACAGCTGCTCGGCGGGCCGGAAGAAAGGGTGAGCGATCCGGCCCGTTCCGAGCCTCCCCAGCTCGCCCCACTCACGAGTCCGCCGATCCTGGCTGCCTCTCTCAGTTCTAATCGTTGCCAGGAAGTTTCTCTTGCAAAGGGAAGAAGAGGGGATTCCTTTTTTTTTTGTTTTCTTTGAGTTTAAATTCGTTTGGTTCTGAGAGCTGCCTCTCGCACTTGTACCAGGCTTCGAGACTGAGTCAAAACTGGGGTCACGCCCAAAGGAAGGGGTGTGGCCGAAGTTTTTACCCAGTCTGCCAGGCAGGAAGGCCGTCATAGAAACCATCCATTTGGACTCTACAGTCATCCTGCTGGAGAAAGGAAGCGTCTCAGGCACAACAGTCTTTTTTTACAGGTAGCCCTTGACTTACAACCATTCGTTTAGTGACTGTTTGAAGTTACGAAGGAGCTAAAGAAGCAACTTGTGACCCTTTTCCCAGTCATGACTGTTGCAGCATTCCCACGGTCACATGATCAAAATTTGGAACCTTGGCAACTGGTCTGTATTTATGATTTGTGCTTCTGACCAGCAAAGTAAGTGTCTGAAGACAGACTCACTAAACAACCGTATTAGTAACTTAACAACTGCAGTGTTTCACTTAAAAACTGTGGCAAGAAAGGTTGTAAAATGGGACGAAACTCCCTTAATGACTATCTTGCTTAGCAATGAAATTTCTGGGCTCCATTGTGGTTGCAAACCGAGGACTTCCTGTATTTGTTATATATACTTTAATCTGCCCAATAACAGGCCATTGTTGATTTTCGGTACACACGTACCGAAAATCAGAACAAAGAATATTAAATACAACAAAAATTGCACGGGAACAGTACAGGGTGTACGAAGTAGACAAAACTCAGCAGAACAGTGTAGTTACTCAAAACAATAAAGCATACTATAAAAAGCATCTAAAATGGAAGGAAAAAAGCATCTGCCTAGCACCAAGAAGAAAGCAAGTGGTATCTGCCTTGGAACCGTGTTAAAAAGAAAAGATGCTACCAGTACAAACAGGAATAAGTCTTCCAGGGAAATCCCTGAGACACATAGAATAGAATAGAATAGAATAGAATAGAATAGAATAGAATAGAATAGAATAGAATATAGCTGGAAGGGACCTTGGAGGTCTTCTAGTCCAGCCCCCTGCTCAAGCAAAGCTTTTAAAAGCAAAGCTCAGCAAATGTTTCTCTGTGCTCTTCGCAAGTAATGCCTTGTTAAAAAAAAAAACAAAAACCTTCCAACCATTCATGAGTATTCCTTAGTAAATCATGTGTCTTTCACATACAATAATCTACTTGCAGACTGAAATTCTGCTTCTAATAAAGGTAATACTGGGAGAGAAATCTTGGAGTCCTAGTGGACAACCACTTAAATATGAGCCAGCAGTGTGCTGCAGCTGCCAAAAAAGCCAACACAGTGCTAGGCTGTATTAACAGAGGGATAGAATCAAGATCATGTAAAGTATTAATACCACTTTACAATGCCTTGGTAAGGCCACACTTGGAATACTTCATCCAGTTTTTTACGCTGTAAAAAAGATGTGGAGACTCTAGAAAGAGTACAGAGAAGAGCAACAAAGATGATTAGGGGACTGGAGGTTAAACACATAAGGAACGGTTGCTGGAATTGGGTATGTCTACTTTAATGAAGAGAAGGACGAGGGGTGACATGATAGCAGTGTTCCAATATCTCAGGGGCTGCCACAAAGAAGAGGGAGTCAAGTTATTCTCCAAAGCGCCTAAAAAGAAGCAACCAATGGAAACTAATCAAGGAGAGAACCAACCTAGAACTAAGGAGAAATTTCCTGACAGTTAGAACAATTAACCAGTGGAACAACCTGCCTCCAGAAGCGGTGAATGCTCCAACACTGGAAGTTTTAAAGAAGAAACTGGACAGCCATTTGTCCGAAATGGTGTAGGGTTTCCTGCCTGAGCAGGGTGTTGGACTAGATGAGCTCCAAGGTCCCTTCCAACTTTTTTTTAAAATTATTATTATTATTATTTTAGACGTTGATCCTTAGAACAACTAAGGCAGTGGTGTCAAAACTGCCAGCCTGTGGGCCGGGTTGCATCATACGGAGACTGTGCCCACCCCAGCTCCAGCAATGCAAAAGAAGTCGCGATACATCGTGACACGTCACGTGACACGGCGAGTTTGACACCCGTGAACGAAGGCATTGTGTTACATTCAATCAAGAACATGTTTACTATTCGGGTTAACAGTAAAAAGAGAGTTATGTAGCACCACAACATTTAAGAATTATTCCATCTACCTCCAGCTTATTTGCTCCAACTGTGCTTTCCCTGGCTCAGAATACTGCTTAGTACAAGGGGCCAGGAGAAAGGGAACATGTCAAGATCTTTGACTTTCGTACTTGGTTTCCTTATCAAGTGTGCCAACATTGCTAAATTATTTGGCTAGTGATCCCAGAAAACAGATTGAGGGTTGGCAGGAAAACTAAAAAATATGTATTACTTGAAGAGATTCAAAAACTCTTTCTACAGCTTCAACTGTACATTTCCAAGCTAAAATGAAAATGTACATTTACTTTCAACCTAAAAACATACTGTATGCATTGACAGAGGAAGGCAACAACAAATAGCTTTCATATTCTTATCATATGGACTTATCTATGAAGTCATGAGCAGCTGAGCTTAATTTGAAGATTAGATCTTCTGATTAGCCTTCGAAAAGCTGCTATGAAGTTGATTACTGAAGATATAGTTGTCCACTTAATTTCTGAGTTACACAATGACAATAAAGATATTCTATTCTATCCTTGAGCCTAACTTTGCCATCAGAATGAACCTACGCTAAAAAAGGGAAATGCAGGGATTCTAACCCCTAAAGATATTCCTGGATCCCCAGAAGGCTTTCTGCCTGCTTATTCGTTGTTCTGCGTAACTAGTAGACCAACTTTTGTATTAATTGCTTCATTCTTACTCTTTTACTGCCTTTTCTTCATGCTATTTGCATATCTGAGGACAAAGTGGGCACCTGAGGCCAAAGAACTGAATCAAAAATTTTCATGTCTTAGAATGAATGTGGTGACAGGATTGATCCAACACCAATGGGAAATTAAAATAATTCCTCAACAGAATGTTACCATCCCATTCAAGCTTTTTCGTTTCCTTAATGACAATTCAATTTTTTTTCCTGCCATCAAGATTTTGACTGATTGAAGATTTGTGGCCAACAGTCAATTTTTACTGTTTATTTAGCCTTGTCCATATCTAATCTTTTTAAAGACTAGGATAGAAAACCTTAGAAACAACCAGTGGTGGGATTCAGCCAGTTCGCACCACTTCGGCAAAACCGATAGCTAATTTTTTGTTGGCCAGGCCCAGAATGGACTTCCGGAAGCGGCATCCACACAAAGAACCAGTTGTTCACATATTTGAATCCCACCACTGGAAACAACTGTTTTGAAAGCTACTGCAATCCAATGATGTGATTTTCCTCACATTTTTCTGAAAGTGCAATTATGACGCATAAGACAATTTCAGAAATGTTAGTTACAGCACAATTTTGTTGTTCTGTCGTTCATTCCTTCTCAACTGGACCTGATGGACATCATTTCTTCTATCAGTATCTGCGTCTTCTGAGCTCTTATAAGGGTCTGGTTGTGTCATCAGTGATAGTATTTAGACACCACGTCATCTTCTTTTCCAATTGCCTTTTAAATTTCCCAAACATCAGGATCTTTGAGCAGGCTTGACTTGAGGTAATTTAATGAATGCCCTTATTTATTAGTTTTCACAACAGTACAAAAGCGGTTGGCCATTGCATTATTTGAGAATTGCTTTCCTATTTGCCAGGCTATCCTAAGATTTCTTATTAGTCTCCTATCCAGGTGTAAC